CACCATTAGAATCTAAGCACAGAAGGAAGTACATGCGACCTGCCTTCTCCAGACAGTAGGGCCTTCTCTTGGCTTGCAGAGGTGCATTTGAAATGGAGGTGTCAGAGATGGGATGCCACACCAGGCCAGGCCTTGAGGAACCTGCAATGCATTCCCTGCAAAGTGATCTCCAGTAGGCTTTGGAGAGAATAAGGGCTGGGGCCCTGTCAAGACTCTGCACAGGGAGAATTCACCAGGAGCTGTCCGCAGGAGACCCTGAGAAGGTGGAGGCTGAAGGGAGGAGGCAGTTAAGGGCAGATGTGCAGATATGTGTGTGAGCTGGGCAGCCTGAACTTGGGAGAACAGAGCGAGGACAGAGGGGAGCCAGAGCTGGCAGTGGTGGTTACTGAGTGATTTAGGGAAATTAAAGGAAGAGGGGAGATCATGGAGGAAGAAGATTCTAAGGTTGGGCAAAGAGACTGAACTGGGTTTGATCTCCCCTGTTTGGGGCATTGGGTCAGATGCGCAGGGAGTGTTCCAGAGGGGCTGGGGACAGCAATGTGGGAGGGTCCTGCCACAGCAGGGATTTAGGTGCTGGTAGGTGTCTTCTGCAGTCACTGGATGGCACCTTCCTTACTCATTATCTCAGCTGTCCCAGAATGGCAAGAGCTGAGCATCGCTCCTCGGCTTGTGCTGAGCTGAAGCCTTCAGAGACCTCCATAGCTGCTGCCCCCATGTTGTTCGTGACGGGTGTGCACCACCTGGCCCTGTTCCTCCCCGGGACTGCCCTCCTCCAGCTCTGTCACCCCCTGACTTGGGGCTGGCTTCTAAGGAGCAGAGTGGTCTGCTGAAGGAGGGAGTGCAGTAAGTGTCTGTGTGAGTGTGGGTGCACTTGGGTGAGGGCCTGAGAGTTTAAAGGCAAGGATCTTGATTGGCCTGTAACAAGCAAATGAGCAAGCAGAGATGATGACCAAAGGATATTCAAATTGATGTTAAGCATCATTTTCAAACCCCACCCCTGATTTTTGTCTCATCTTCTGACCCGACCACCTTTCCCAGCACAGCTGTCCCCATTATGCTCCATTTCGCTCCCACCCTCTGGCCCCAGGCCAAACCCAGCCATACTCCCCCCGCTCCAGCCTGCAGCTCAGGAGCACATGCAGGGCTGACAGCACCAGGCAGCACAGAGACTAGGGCCGTGGGGGCAGCTGAATGGGGGAGGGGGTTGGAGAATGGGGTTGGTTCCATGGAGTGAGGAAGGAAAAGAAGCAGGAGAACCCAGCTGGGGTGATGGCTGCTTCCTGCACTCCCCGAGCCCAGGCCTCCCCACAGGGTGCTTAGGGTGGACGCCTGGCTCTGTGCCTGACCAACCCTCAACTTCCTGTGGAGGAGCTGTGCACCCAGACTGCAGGCTTGTGTGGGCAGTAGCTCAGGCCTCTGACCTGGCAGGGAAAAAGCTGCTTTAAGACCAGATGCTTTAAACCTGGTATCCTGGGAACAGGAAAGGCTATTGTTATGGGACCATTGTCATGGGAGCAGGAATAACCCTGTCAGGGCAATTGGTGACTGAAGGATCCTGCTAGAGCTGGGACAGAGAGCCACTGGGAGCAGAGAGCCACTGGGAGCAGAGAGCCACTGGGGGCCAGAGAGCCACTGGGGGCCAGAGAGCCACTGGGGGCAGAGAGCCACTGGGAGCAGAGAGCCACTGGGGGCAGAGAGCCACTGGGGGTAGACAGCCACTAGGGGCAGAGAGCCACTGGGAGCAGAGAGCCACTGGGAGCAGAGAGCCACTGGGGGCAGAGAGCCACTGGGGGCAGAGAGCCACTGGGGGTAGACAGCCACTAGGGGCAGAGAGCCACTGGGAGCAGAGAGCCACTGGGGGCAGAGAGCCACTGGGGGCAGAGAGCCACTGGGAGCAGAGAGCCACTGGGGGCAGAGAGCCACTGGGGGCAGAGAGCCACTGGGGGCAGAGAGCCACTGGGGGTAGACAGCCACTAGGGGCAAAGAGCCACTGGGAGCAGAGAGCCACTGGGAGCAGAGAGCCACTGGGAACAGAGAGCCACTGGGGGCAGAGAGCCACTGGGGGCAGAGGCATAAGCAGACCCGTTGGGGTTCAAGGAGAAGCCTGCTTGGATCTGCAATAGGCGAGCCTGGGTGAAGGCTAAGGAGGTGCCCATGGAGAATCTCTGAGCCCAGGAGGAGCACCAGGCCAGGAGAGAGGAGGCCTGGATGCTAGTCCTGCTTTGCCCCTGAAATAGCTGAGTGACTTTGGACAGGCCACTTGCCTTCTCTGGACCTCATCTCCCTTAGTTGTGAATTCAGCACTGAGAGAAATTCCCTTTTGTCCCTGCTTCTTCTGGTTCTATCGGGGGGGAATTTACAGCTACCCCTTCACCCCTGCCCAGCCTAGCTTAGCCCTGAGCTGAGTTTTGGGGATCACCTCCAGACTTCTATGGCTCCCTGGTTTCCCTATTTCTACATCAGAGGCCAGCCCTCCCTTCCCGTGAGAACTATCTGGGCTCAGAGCCACTGGTGCAGACTAGAGTGGGCCTCGCTAGAAAAGCAAGTACATGAAGTCTCCAGCTCTCCCAGCTCCTTCTCTGGGTTCCTGTGAGTGTGTGTGACAATGAGTTTGGGAGAGGAGGTTGCTGAGGCTCCCAAGTTCCCTGAGGGACCTTCTCAGAGGTTGGGCAGAGAACCCAGAACCCTAGGCCCTTTGACAGGACTTTGTCGTGCCTGCTCTGATCATCCAAGGGGAAGGCACTATCCCTAACTCTTCAAGAGATTTCTGAAGGGGCCCCAGATTCCACCACAGCTCCCTGCCCCAGTCCCTCCTGCAGAAATTCAACTTGTGACAAGGGCTGTTGTGAGTCCCCAGGGGGCAGGACCAGCCCCAGCCTGGATGAGTGGCTGCCTAAGCCCAGGCTTCCCTGCCTCCAGGTCCCAGATGCCAGAGGAAGCTGAGGGTACAGATGGTTCCAACAGGGTCCTCCCCTAGGGTGCTCAAGGCCCCAAATCTATGTGGACGGTGCCCACCCCACTCACATGGGTGGGGAGGCCGCAGCACAGAGAGAGGGGCAGATTACCCCCTTTGAGAACTCCTGTCCCCGGGGACAGACGACACACTCTGACACAGCAGAGAATGATGCAGAGCTGGCCTCAGGCTGAAGAGACACACAGCTAGTGGCACATAGCAAGGAGTGCTCTTGTAAGCTACAAGGAGGAGCTGTCACTTCTCAGAGTTAGCAGTGGTCAGAGACGGGGCAAGTCAGCATGGGAACACAGTTGCTAACCCCCCCACACACACACACACAGAGTGATGTGCCTCGGTGCCATCTGGAGACACGGTGCCTTCCTCCCCCTCAGGAGGGTGCCCCACCCTGATTTGGTACATAATTATGTTCAGGAAGAAGCTGGGCCCCACTGTCGGCAAGAAAACCCCCCTACAAGCTCACCTCTGCCTGTGTGTGCAGCTCCACGGGAGCCTCTCTCTTGCCCCTGGTTTCCTGTCCTGTCTGTGGGTCATACTTCAACCAGGCCAGCCAGAAGGCCCCAGACAGAAGTCAGGAGGCCTGTTCTGGTCCTGTGTGACTCTGAGCAGGTGGCTGACCATATCTGGGCCTCAGTTCCCACATCTGTGAAAAAGAGAAGTAATACCTCCCCCGCGAACCTGCTGAGGGTCTTGAGAAAGTGTGCATGAGCACACTTTGTAAACAATGCTTGTGTGAGTGAGTGGCGGGCATCACTCCTTGAGCTGTCTTCTGGCTCCGGAGCTCCAGCCTGCTTTCCCACCTCGGGCCCTTGGGCACCAACGTCTGATAGCCCTGCTGTGTCCTCCTTTTGCCTACCCCTCTGCCCTTCCCGTTCTCAGTCTCTGCATACTCCTACTGTAAGGAGTAGGGCACTGTACTGAGACGGAGTGGGGAGCAGGAGTCCAGGGGCAGGCAAAGCAGTGGACTTGGAATCGAGTCCACTTGACAATTTCCAATTCCCATCTCAGTCATTACCTCTGTTCACAGAGCTCCTGGCAGCAGACGCCAGACCAGCAGAGCCCCCAGTGGTGCAACTGCAATTACACACAGTGTTGCTACCGGTCCTAAGATATATTAGCTCGTTCTCTTTGTAAATTGCATCTTATTTTAAAATTAAATCTTCAAAGTGCTGATATTAACTAAAAAAAAAATGCTAGAGTCTTTCATCTGTTTATGTTTTAATTAAACAATATTCTTCCAGGGTCCTTAAGTGGTGAAGGTCGAGGATGCAGAGATGAGGCCAGGTCCGGGTGCCTGGGCTCCCTCTACCCCACCCCACTGATGCATCTCCTGCTCGGTGTGCTCTCCCAACCCTCCCCTCCCCTACCTTTGCCAAGGACCCTCCCTAGCCTCCCTTGCTGGTTTTGAATCTCCACCTCCTCTCCCCTCTCCTCTCCCGCACCCACGAAACTTCCCAGAGTGGAAGCACATCACTGACCCATCACGGAGGCCTGGGCATGACGTCCCTGGCCACCCTGTGACCAGTGGGGCTTGGGACTCATGATCAGGGTGCCAAGTGCCCCTGAGCTTGTCATCCACCTTCAGCCTGACTTTCCCTGGAAAGGGCGGCAAATCCCGGGCCCTGCAAAGAAGAGGCAGCACAGAGAGGGAGCAAGGGGGAAGCAGTCCATTACTCGCCCACAGTTTCCTCCTGGCCTTTTCAGCTCCTCCCTCAGGGGTAGGTCATGGTGGGGAGGGGCAGCTGGGTGCAGGGGAGAGCAGGCATCTTCTACAGAGGGCTGGGAAGCTGTGTGCCGGACAGCACCCAGCCCACCAGGCCCAGACTCACCTACAGCTGGAGATCCCTGCTTCCCTGTGCCCACAGAACCTGCCCTTTGCAGTCTCCCATCTCCCCAACCCAGGCCTTAGCCTGTCTCATTTTTCTATCAGAGGTGCTGGAAGAGCAGCAGAATCAGGCCCAGCTCCCAGTTCCCTCTCCCCAGTCTTCTCCAGGTATCCCCTCCCACGAGCACATAGGAAAAGGGCCACATGGCCTGGCGAGCCCTACACCCACTGCTACTGCTGCTGCTGCTGCTGTTCCCAGGTGAGGGGGAGGGGGAGCCAGGGAACAGAGGAGATGGGTATGGTGGGGACTGTCGGGACAGCAGAGTCAGGTAGCAGGTGGCTCTGTGGGCAGAGGCCTGCTATGAGGCAGGTTGTGCGTGTGGCCTTGACCTATGCGTTACTTCATCATTCTACAGGCTCTCAGGCACGATCCAAGGCTCAGGTACTTCAAAGTGTGGCAGGGCAGACGCTGACCGTGAGATGCCAGTACCCGCCCACAGGCAGGCTCTATGAGAAGAAAGGCTGGTGTAAGGAGGCATCAGCACTCGTGTGCATCAGGTTAGTCACCAGCTCCAAGCCCAGGACGGTGGCTGCGACCTCTCGATTCGCAATCTGGGATGACCCTGCTGCTGGCTTCTTCACTGTCACCATGACTGATCTGAGAGAGGAAGACTCAGGACACTACTGGTGTAGAATCTACCGCCCTTCTGACAACTCTGTCTCTAAGTCCGTCAGGTTCTATCTGGTGGTATCTCCAGGTGAGCTCTTTCCCTAGGGTCCTCAGGGGGGTGCCCCTCACCCCCTTTTGGTGCCTCCATCACCCCTGGTTTCCTAATCATGGAAGTCACCCATGCCCACACCCCAGTCTCCTGGGGAGGCTGTTGGGAACAGGTATGGGGGGAACTCATATGTGCACAAGAGCAGCCATCTCACAGTCTCCCTGACTCTCAAGCCTGCAGCCTGGGCCTCCTGAGAGACGCTGAAACACACCCGGTGAGCATGCTGAGCAGTCAGCCCATATGACCCTGCTACAGGAGGGCAGGACCGCCCAGCATCTTTGGTACATAGCAGGTGCCCAGGAAAGGTGCATCCACTGGCTGCCCCCACCACGTAGAGCCAGTAGTATCTAGGTAGTCCAGATACCAAGATACTATGGGTATCCCTCATAGTCCAGATCAGGGTCAGCAAAGGATGGCCCGATAACTAAGAATGGGTGAAAAAAATCAAAAGAAAAGCAATATTTTGTGACATACAGGAAATTCAAACTTCAGTGCCTGTAAGTAGAGTTATTTTTTGGAACACAGCCATGCCCACTCGTTTACCTATTGTCTGTGGCCCTTTTCATGCTGTGACAGCAAAATCGAGCAGCTGTGACAGAGACCACATGGCTCATCCCTGACCCTTTACAGAAAGTGTGCCAACCTCCTGCCCAAAGCAGAGCTACTCTAAGTTCCTATGGAAGAGGACCTTTTAAAAAAAAAAAAATCTGCAATTCACATGACTAATTTTTTTGGTAAAATATGGTAAAAACAAATTACTAGAAAAATAAGAAAAAGACATACAAAGTACAAGCCCAAAATTTATTAAATTTGACAAACATAAAATTACATTTTAATAAATATAATCAGAACAAATATCACATAGGGAAAAATTTATAAAAACTGTATACATTGTTCGTTTGAAAGTGCGCCTAAAGGTGATTGATGTAGCGGCTTAACGGTATACTCATAACGTTTTGTTGTTCCTCAGTTAAAACTAAATACAAAGTTAAAGGGGAAATTGCAGTTCTCTATATTAAATGCCAGTGTGCACCCTTCAAACAAACACCCTGTCTGTCCGTGTTTAAGGATTATAATGTGACAAATGAGCACTTTTCTTACTTGTTAACTTACCTAATCTGAGAACTATTTATGACACCACATCGCTTAGGAGATAATGTATAAAGAAATTGTGCTGATTTTTTAAAAAATAATACTCATAGTAGAAGACCAGAAAATTGGTCTCACGGAGGTATAATGTCAGAAACAGAAGAAATTTTAAGGCAATTCCGACAAGCTCAACAGTTTTATGTTTAACTTTTATAAAAGGAAGCAAGCGATGCTGTAATTTCAAAATGCATCTTCAATCCTTTATCAGTAGCCAGTTCCAAAAGTTTATCCTAAAAGTTATAGTTTAAATTATCTTTTGATGGGAAAATATGGATTCTAGATCTATGAATTTCCTCTGCATATGTCTTCTTTTGACAAAAAACAAAATTCAAAACATGCTATCAAATTATCAGTGTTTTCCCATGAGCACTTGTGAAGATAGGCAATATCATCACCTATTTTGTTGATAAATGTTACTAAATTAAGAATATGTCATAGCAATTCACAGAAATGGTTCTTCTAACTTTTATGTTTGCACTTAGACTTTATTCGCCACTGAAAAACATGTTGCTTTACTTCCTTGCATGGACATGTTAACATCAGAACTACAGTATAAACAAGCTTGAAGGTACAGTTCACATTTGTACTAAACTGGCTTCTTGTCTTAAAGAAACATGAGGAATTCTTTCTATAGATGAAACATTCTCAACAAAACTTTGAATTTGGCATGCAACAGTAGCTGTTTATGATCTGTTTTCATATTACCACATAATAAAGAGAATGATTTCAAATTTCATATATTCACCTTATAAAATTCACAATTTTGTCCACACTGGTCAGCACAACGTTCAGTTAAGCTGATTTTATTTCATAGCAAAACTCTCTCAATGAAGGAAGGAGTGCATTAATTTACAATCTAGCCCAAGCCTTCTTAACCTGGATGACATTTTCCTGTCATTGCAATTGCAGTCATCAGAACATACTCTTACATAGAACTTAACCCCCGAACCACATTTTGATAATATAACCTTCATAGTTTTATACAGTTCAGAGCCAGTTGTGTTTGTGACAATTAAGCTAAAAGATACAGAATTCCTTCATATCATTGTGTTCAAATTGCATATACTAAAAGAATAGTTTTGCTAGCAATATTTGTGCATTTTTTTCAAATTGCCATGAAGAATACTTTGCTAGCTTTATTTGTTCTGGGAGGTGGTCATCCATCTCATTATCCAATTCCTGAATATGTTGACCTAAGGCATCAAGGGCAAATGATATCAAGCTCCCTTCTTTGCTATACATTACCCAGTGTCGTAAAGCAAACGTTGTTCAGTAATGTTTCAGCAACTGTAGATGGATTGTTGGTCTTTGCAATACAAAATGTTACTTTACAAGAAGCCACAAAGTCTAGAGCTTATATGTGAAATACAGATTCCTTTCAAGAGCTTTTCAATCCAGTACTCTTTTTTTTCCTAAAAAGTTTGTTGTGAACTTGTGTTTTTCCGTTTCATATGTATATGCCATTTGTTTTTTGTTTTGTTTTGTTTCGTTTTGAGACGGAGTCTCGCTCTGTCTGGAGTGCGGTGGCGCAATCTCGGCTCACTGCAACCTCCGCCTCCAGAGTTGAAGCGATTCTCCTGCCTCAGCCTCTGGTGTAGCTGGGACTACAGGCACCTGCCACCATGCCAGGCTAATTTGTGTATTTTTAGTAGAGACAGGGTTTCACCATATTGGTCAGCCTTGTCTCAAACTTCTGACCTCAGGTGATCCACCCGCCTCGGCCTCCCAAAGTGCTGGGATTACAGGCGTGAGCCACCATACCCAGACTATGTCACTTGTTTTTATGGTGCATTTGCCTCATAAGCCAATACATCTCAACAAATAACTCACTAGGTTTTAATACTTCCCTACTAATTATAACTACAAAACTCGCATATATGAGTGTAATAGTTCCCTGTTGCTGCCATAACAAATTACCACAAATTTAGTGGCTTAAAACAAATTTATTATCTTGCGGCATCCAGTATGGGTCTTACTGAACTGAAACCAAGGGTCAGCAGGCTATGTTCCCTCCTGGGGGCTCTAGGAGATCATCTGTTTCTCCTCATCCAGGTTGTGGGCAGAGTTCAGTTTCCTGCAGCTATCAGAGACGGAGGTCTTGTTTTCTTGCTTGCTGTAAACCGAAGGTTGTCCCCAGCTTCATGAGGCTGCCACATTCCTTGGCCCACGGCCACCTTTCTCCCTCATCAAAGCCGTCAACACCGGATGGGGGTCCCTCTCACATTGCACCTGTCTCTGACCACAGCTAGGAAACGTTCTCTGCTCTTACAGACTCATAAGTAGATCGAGCCCACCTGGATAATCCAGGCAACTCTCTCCAACTCAAGGTCTTCAACCTTAATCACACCTGCAAATTTCCCTTTGCCATGGAAGGCAATGTCCTCACAGGTTCCTGGGATTAGGGAGTAGACATTTTGGGGTACCCTTATTCTGCCTACCACAATGAGGGATTCTACTTTCAAACAAGACCAGCACAAACTCTTTGGAATAATTGCAGAAGGAAAAAATTTCTTTGGAATCAATTCTACCATCTTCATTTGGCTGTCACTGCCACATCCAGGAAAGATGTGTTTTTTCAGTGACTTGTTTTACTATCTGTTCATTAGAACGCTAATTAAGTAATCACTATTCTACTCTAAATTAGCTAATCATGTTACACTTTACATTTTGTTTAAAATGTTTGATTAAAAATGAAAATGATTGTAAAAATAATAAATTATAAAATTATACATCTTTCCAGATGTTTATACACTTTTGGGTTATAGCTAAAAACTTATTTTATTTTATTTATTTATTTACTTTTTTTTTTTTTTGAGACAGAGTCTGTCTGTCGCCCAGGCTGGAGTGTAGTAACGCGATCTCGGCTCACTGCAACCTCCGCCTCCCGAGTTCAACCTATTCTCATGCCTCAGCCTCCCGAGTAGCTGGGATTACAGGTGCCTACTACCACGCCTGGATAATTTTTTTGTATTTTTAGCAGAGACGGGGTCTCACCATGTTGGCCAGGCTGGTCTGAAACTCCTGACCTCTAGTGATCCACCTGCCTTGGCCTCCCAAAGTGCCAGAATTACAGGCGTGAGCCACCATGCCTGGCTGCTAACAACTAATTTTAAAGTATCACCCACTGTAGCATGGCCCTGGCATAGGTTACTAGCACACAGCTCGCTCCATGTTCGACTCTCCATGCTAATTTGACAACACCCAAGCTGGTCTATATCCCGTTCAAGGAGATGAGACGAGTTAACTAATCACATGCTTGGATCTTGAGGCAATAACAAATTGATATAAACGTTTTGAAACCCCTACTCCCAATTTTTATACTTACCTTGTTGTGAATGGGTTACAGACAATTTGTAGACCAGCACCAGGCCATAGATGACACATTCAATAGCACAGGCCTAGAATTTTACCAGAGTGTCCCAAACACGGCCTTCTCCCAGGCTGAGCACAGGGTTATCCTGGACAGCATCCTAGACAGCCTCAGAGAGTGTCCTGTGGGACAGGATCATGTCCACAGGTCCATAGGCCTGTGACTCGGTCCAGGGAGGACCTTCCAGGGCAGTCTCTGGGACGAGGAATGACCCAGCCTCAGGCACCCTCTCCTTCACGCCCCTCCTAGCCCTTTCCCCTTCTTTCCCCCTCTCCCCACCTCCTGGACTCCAGTTAGGTATGTAGACCTAGTCTGCTAGGTTGAGACACTGAGAATCCCCACTTCCTCTCCCAGCCTTGGTTCCAACCCCACTTTCTTTTCCTTCACACCCTGCCACCGCCCCCGCAACCAGCATTGCCTTTTTGACCTCAACAGTCCCCATCACTTTTCCAGAGACAGCCATTCCCCACTTCCACCAAGGGCTCAGAGCACAGGTGGCTCCGGGTCTTCCTGGGAAGGTGAACGGTAGGAGTGGTGCGCAGCCAGTTCACAGAGTCCCAGAGTCAAGAGGGGCTGTGAAAGGCATTCCCTAGGCTGCTGAGGCTTGGGGTCCAGGGCTGTGCAGCAGAACTGGGAGGGGCAGGAATCTGAAAACTACCTTTCAAATTCCCACAAGAGGCTCCCTTCCCAAGCCCCAGAGGCATGAGAAAGAGAATGGAGGGTCGAGAGCCAGAGGGGTCCGAAGCATCATGGCCATGTCCACCCTCAGGAGGTTCAGGTGGGTGCCCGTCCAAAGACTTGAGTGCTGGGAGGGGACCAGACCTCCTGAGTCCTCTTCCAGTGCTCCTCCTGGACTCAAGGATATGACTGCAGGGGCCCAATAGAGCCCAGGCCACAGGTGTTTCTAATTCTGAGCCAGAGGACTTCACAGTTCAGTGCCCACCCCTCAAATCGGTTTTCTTCTCTGGGCTCATGGGCTCTGTTCCCAGTCTGGTCCAACTCCCCCAACCAGCTTTCCTGCCGGCAGGCACAGGTGGGGTCTTCCACTCACTAACCACAGCCCTTTCTCCTCCCTGGCAGCCTCTGCCTCCACACAGACCTCCTGGGCTCCCCGCAACCTGGTCTCTTCACAGACCCAGACCCAGACCCAGACCTCTTGGGCTCCCCGCAACCTGGTCTCTTCACAGACCCAGACCCAGAGCTGTGTGCCTCCCACTGGAGGAGCCAGAGAAGACCCTGAGTCTCCAGCTACCATCACTGTCCCTTCACAGTGAGTTCGGGGGGGCGCCCGTAGCCACACAGGCCTGGGCGGGGGCCGGCAGATGAAGACTTGTCTCCATAACCTGTCCTCTCCCCTTCCTGTCCCTCCGCCTTCCAGGCCACAGAACTCCACGCTCCCCCCTGGCCCTGCAGCCCCCTATGCCCTGGTCCCTGTGCTCTGTGGAGTCCTCGTAGTCAAGAGCCTGGTGCTGTCGGCCCTGCTCATCTGGTGGTGAGTGTGGTGAGGGTTGGACTTGGGGCAAATGGAACAGGGAACAGCTTCTGCCCAGGATGGAGGGTCAGAGGGGAATCGGCCAGAGAACAGAGGTGGAAATTATAATTGGCAGAGCTCTCCAAACTAAAGCCCTCATGGAGTCCCTCCATCTGACATGTCACACAGGCTTACCTTTGTCCTTCAGCTGCAAACTTGCAGGAATCTCACCCATGTTTCTCTTTCTCTGTGTTTTCTCCTCTCTCTCTCCCTTTCTCTCTCTCTTTCTTCCCCCTACTCCCTTGTCCTCCCTTTCCCTCTCCATTCCTCCCCCTCCCTCTTTCCCATTCCACCCCCTTCCTCTCTCCCTCTCTCTCTACCCCTCCCTCCTCTCCTCTTCTTCCCTCTACCTTTCTCCTTCCGTCTCCCCTCCCCTTCCCCGCCCCCAGCCCTCCATCAGAAACACAGACCTGCACAGCTGGAAAGTCCCTCCCACCACCTGCCCTTCCAGGCAAGCCCAAGTCCAGGGACTCCCTAAAGCCACAATCCCAGGACTCCGCCTCATTCTAGTCCTGAGGGAGAGAGGGTAGACACAGGAGGGAAACAGCACCCAGGGAGAAGGGGATACATGGGAAAAACCATAGGTGGGGCTGAGTGAAAGGCACAGGGACAACTGAGTCAGGCCAGGAGCTGGCTTGCTGGAGGAGGGGCAGGCTTGAGGAGAGGGACGGGGTGGGAGAACGGATTCAAGTCACTTCATGTATTTCTCCCCATATCTCAGGGGTCTCAAGGAATCGGCATGTGCGGCATCAAGGGAGATCTCTGCTGCGCCCAGCTCAGACCAGGCCCCAGGCCCATAGACACTTCCCACTGAGCCACAGGACCTCAGGTGGGCGGCCAGTCTCTGACAAGGCTAGGCTCCCAGGAGCTCCAGGACCTCTGACCTCTGCATTCTCTGCAAAGAAAAGGCCAGAACTTGATCCAAGGCCTTTGGCCACGCCCTCCCTGTAGAGCTGCAGAGCCCAGGCCCTCTACTTGCTCACCCTCAGTTTGCACTGGGGCCAGCACCCCATTGTGGGTGCAAAGCCCAGCACCTGCAGCACCTTTCTACCAAACCTGAGTCAATGATAAGAATCCTTCTTCCCTGCCTCCTCCTCCTATCTATAGCCCCTGATAAAAGAAAAACTTGAGGCCTGGAACGCTGGGGGCTGACACCTGTAATACCACAACTTTGGGAGGCCAAGGCTGGAGGATTGCTTGAAGCCAAGCGTTCCCGGTTGCTGTGAACCATGATCATGCCACTGCACTCCAGCCTGAGCAACAGAGTGAGACCTTGTCTCTAAAACAGAAAAGAAGAAAAGAAACCCTTTAGACAAAAAAAATTTAACAGAGTTTATTTGAGCAAAGAACGATTTGCAAATTGGGCAGCCCTCAGAATCAGAAGAGGTTTAGAGAACTGTGCTCTGCAACCTGGGCAGTTGGAGAGACAGAAAAAGACAGAAGAAAGTGCAAACAAGGAACAAAAAGAAATTGGTCATTTCAAAGGTATCTTCTTTGTAAAAGGTTAAAGCAGAGGGGACTTCCCTACCATACCAGCTAAAACTGGCCTGTGCAGGGATTTGGCTGTTACCTCTCTCTCTTAATTTCTCGGAAGGTGAGATAAACAACTTGGTTTTGGCTTGGTGGCGTGGAACCTTAGCACCAGTGACCCCATTTTGGTTTGGGCTGTTGGGCCTAGTGCAGGAGCTCAGTCTAAACCAATGGCCTCTTATTACTCTTATTTAACACCCCAAATCCAGATGCCTGGGTCACCCCAACGTTTCCCTCTCCCTCTCCCCTTGCTCAGCCACACTCTGCCAAGGCCTCCCCTATTGTGCCCCCTCCCCATTTCCTAGCCCCTTCACCTCACACTGGCACTTGGACCACTGTGTCAGCCACCTAATGGGGGGTCCTGTCTTCAGTCCCCGCCTCCTTGATTGTTCCCCTGAGAAGTCCCTTCCCAACAACACCTCTGTGCATTTCCGCCACCCAGGAATTGAAGTCCAGTGTCATCACTGGGGTCCCCACAATGCTTTGCCTAGATCAGCCGCCCCTGCAGCACAGCGCCCCCCTGTGCTGTCCTTACCACCACCAACATGGCTGCAGCCTCTACAAGGAAGTGAACCTCTTTTTTCTGCACAAGCTGGTCAAGAGGCTCACAACTTGCCACATTCAAGATCACTCTGCACCTTGCCCCAGGCCTGTCACCCCCACAGGGCTGCTCTCTCTTTCTGACACTTACAATCCGATGTTGGACCTACCGATCTGAGCCTGACGTGATTATCTTTCCTCTCCTGTTTGTCATCTATGTTTCTTTATTCCTACTTTCTGAGAAAGTTCCTCAAGGTTACATTCCATTCAAGTGTTTTCAATGTACACGATCACATTTTTCATTTCTAAATGGTCCATTTGTTCTCTGAATGTTCCTGTTTATAGCACAGCATGTTTTATTTTGGCAAGCCATATTTTCTCTGGAAATATTAAAGTTTTAACTTTTGAACTTTTCCAAAGCTTTCCATATTTTCTGTGTCCTCCAAGGTGCCCGTCATATTTTTTATTTTCTCCTTTCATTGACCTCTGTCTTTCTTCAGAGCGTTCTGGAAACCTTGGCTGCTTCTCAGCCACCCACTCGCATGGAAGAGCTCAGAAACCCCGTGCGTGCCGCGGGGTGCCCTGGGCTCCAGGCTGACTGGGTAGGAGCATGGCTCCATTTCTTCTCTTTCACAGCTCGGTTTCTCCAGAAAGGACTCTTAGCTGTCCTCCCTGGGGGTGTAAGTCTAGACCCAGGGTTCTAGGCACCAACTGGAGCAGAGCAAAAGGGTCTCGCTGCCCAATGTCTGTTCCCACCCAAGCCCCCACTGCACACTCTCTCTCTCTGTGGCGCCCTGTGCTCCGAGGGGAGCATCTCTGTGTCACCCTCATCAAAGACTTACCTCAAGCTCTCTGCAGCTGTTGAGAGAGAGGAAAGACAGAGGATGTGGGCAGCTAACCTACTCTCCGTCTCACGGAACCCAGAGAATCTAGAATTCTAAGTGATTCTTAAAGCAGAGCTCCAACCTGTTCTCTGGTTTCTGGCACCCACTTCAACCCTGCCTTAAGAGATACCTGCACTTCCCATTTCTCCACCTTTCTGGGGTTCTCAGGTAAAAACGACTTCCCTCATATTCCCCCACTCCCACCAGCTCTCTATGATCTGTGAAGTCATCTGATTTTACCCACCTTCAAAATGTGTATGGAGCTCTCTGTTCATCCTTGAGGATGGGTTTATGCAATTTTTATCCAGTTATTGCTGCTTTCACCTTCTTGGCAAGAGTGAGGAGGGACCTCAGATTTTCCACCAAAACACCCCTCCCCAGCATCTGCCACCAAGGGCAGGAGCAAGTGAGATCCCAGGTCTCCACTTGCTCATGTAAAGGCTCCTGGCCCCCTCCCCTTCCCTGAAGGTAAGCGCTCAGACTCCAGTATAGCCTCTTGGTGGCTTATTATATCCCTGTTCACTCCAGTTGCTATAAGACGCCCAGGATGCCCTGGTCCTCCGTCGTCACCCAGAATCCCAACTCAGTAAGACCTTATAAATCGATTACATTAGCCCCATTTCCCATTCGTCCCAAATCCCATAACCTTTCCACCTGCGTACCTGAAGTACGCAGTCATCAGCACAAGCCCCTGTGCACTCAGCTTCTCTGAACGTCGCCGCGGTACTCTCCCTGACATCTGCCTGTTCTCTGAGGATGCTGCTTTCTCCACAGTTCTCTTGTGGGGGGAGGGGGTGGTTTTTTCTCCTTGACCTCATGCTTCTGAGTCCAAGGGTGGAGTCAGTGTCCTCTGTGCTCCTCACGGCCCCTTCCTATCTTCCTATCCTCCCTAAAGTACTTCACAAGTAGCTTTCTGCCATTAGGCTATATCACTGTGGGTGACCACCCATCATTTCTGCAGATTCTGTACGATCTGGGGCACTGCTGTTTATTCCTCGGGGGTCTTAACCCCAGGCTCAACATCACTCTGACTGTTCCCGCCATAATTCTTGGTGATCTTGGGCCCATGTAGACTCAAGAGCTACATGAATGATTCTTACAAATCCCTGGCATCTCAGTTCCTTGGCCTCCAATGGTCTGGTCCTCTTCCCTATCTCAGCCACCCTTGCAGATGATCAGCAAGCGCCAACAGCTCCCCTCTTAATCTCATTCCCACCACTCCCTACCTCAGTCCTGCTAACCTGATCCCAGTATTGCTTCAACACTACAGGGACCCATGATCCATTAATCCTGCCATCTGCCCCTTTTCCCCATTGCACTCATGCTTTCCTTTCCCTTAGTTTCCATGATCCAACCTCAAATCACTCTTTGGCACACAGCCTCCACTTCTGGGCTCCTCTTCCCTTTTAGTGAACTCCTCCGGGAAAACTGTAACCCTGGTTGGACCTAGCTTCCCGCTTACTCTGTGCCTGTGTCCAGCCAAGATGAATGTGGCTGTGGCTGACAAAATACAATCTATCATCCCGAAGTGTCTCACTGTCAGCATGTGACCTTGAGAGTGGAGTGACTCTGCTCCACTCTAGACCTACATCGTCCCCTGTCTTCCCTCTCTACATGCTCAGCTGGTGTGCCCACATCCTAACTCACTGAAAAGAGAGAGAGAGTGGGGGAAAGAAAGAAAGAGAGAAAGAGAGGGAGGGAGGGAGGGAGGGAGGGAGGGACAGAATGAGAGGGAGAGAAAAAGAGGAGGGAAGGAAGGAAAGAAGGAAGAGGGAGGGAGGGAAGGAAGGAGGAAAAAGAACGTCCACTTGATCCCACCACACCTACCAATCATCTGCCTCTCTTCTTCCTCTCACTCTCCGTACTCTCATCTCAAGCCAATCACTTTCCTTCAGCTCCAAATCCCATCTTCTCTTGTCTACACAAGAATATTCCAGCCGAGCATGGAGGTGAAGACTTGTGTGGTCCCAGCTACTCGGGAGGCTGAGGCGGGAGGATTGCTTGAGCCCAAGAGGGTGAGGCTACAGTGAACTATGATCATGCCACTGCACTCCAGCCTAGGTGACAGAGCAAGATCCTGTCTAAAATTAAAAAAGGAATATTCATCCAGGAGCCACCCCTCTCTCCTTCATCATCTTCTTCCCCAGTTGTATGTCATGACCGTCAGAATCTAAATGGGCTCTAATATATTAAACCCTCCCCACTTACAGCCCTCCAGCTACTGCTCCATCATCTTAATGTCCTCTGCAGCAAGGGCCCATGAAAGGACTGGCTGCACCATCAGCCTCCAGGGTTCTCTTCTGTTCCCTCTTGAAGCCACTCCAGCCAGGCCTTTGACTGCGCCACTCCTTGAAACACCTCCAGTGACTTCTGCCCTGTGAAATCCAGCAGCCAATGCTGAAACCTCCTCACCCTGGGAAGAGGAGCACCCTAGGCATCGCCTTCCACTTCTGCCTTCGTGAGATGCTTTGTTCCCGGGCTTCCAGGAAGAAAAAACTCTTGTGACTTTCTCCTGACTCATTTGATGCTGTGTAATAAACTAGCCCCAAAACATACTAGCTTAAAACAACAAATGATACATATTCATTAGGTCACATGTTTTTTGGGGGGTTGGGGGTGTGGCCAGAAATTTGGGAACAACTTAGCTGGGTGCTCCTGGCTCAGAACCTCTCTGGTATTGCAGTCAGGATGTCAGCAAGAAATGCAGTGGTGGGGAGTTTGATGGAGGGCCGTTCCCAAGACGGTGCACCCTCACGTGGCTGCTCACACAGACCTGAGGTCTTTGCCATATGAGCCTTTCTTCACCGCAAGGGAAATAACTCCCCAGTGTGACTGATCCAAGAGAGGGTGCGGAAGGAGGAAGTCATAGTGCCATTAATAACCTAGTCTCTGAAATCACAAACTGTTGCTTCTGCCATATTCTACTCATTAGAAGCCAGTCATTGGGTCTAGCCCTGGGATTCACCTCCATCCCTTGAAGGAAGGTATATTAAAGAATTAGCACATGTATTTTAAAACCACCACAGTACTCGCTCTGGCCACAAATTATTTACATTCCTCCCACACGCAAAAATACACTTAGTCCCACCAAAGGTCTCCCAAAGTCTCATCCCATTATGGCATCAGGATGAGGTCCAGGAACTCGTCATTTAAACCAGGTCCAGGTGTGGAGGAAATTCCTCAGGTGTAGTTCCTCAAGTACAATTCTCAGTATGAAGACCTGTGAACTAGAGACAAGTTATCTGCCACACACACACACACACGCGCACACACATACACACAACCCCAATGTCCAATGTAGTACAGTCGTAGGAAAACCACTACAGATATTCTTGTTCAAAAGAAGTGGAAGGGGGAGGCAAAAAAAAGGTCACTGGTGCTTAGAAAATCAGAACTTTAGCTGGGCAAATGTTGGAAATTCCTTGATTCAAACACTGCTCAACACCTACCTAGAAATAATTCTCAGTGGTCGTGCTCCTGCCTCTGTGCTTGAGTGTCTTCTGAGCCACCCTTCTCTTTCCATGAAAGGCAGCCCATATTTACAGCTTCGTAATTTCCTCAGGCTGCTTCCTGCCAGTTTAATTTGGGGGATACAAAGTAAGATCCCAGATTTTATGCTATTTCTGTTCCTTTCAGTCCAATCTGGCAGTGTTTTGTGAATGTCATTCTCTTACAAAATATGTGGATCTCCTGTAAAACTTACTGTGACTCACTCCATTAGACAAAGACCATACCCACAAATTTCTCTAAGAGAAGATCTGTTCCACACCATGTGCTTCTGCCAAGACAGTGAGGATAATGTCTTTATACTTCTTAGAAGCTCTAATGTTTGACTGAAAAATCTATGAAGCACACACCCTTAAATTCATGAAAGGGCCTTTTGCTTGAGACACTATGTGAAATAATAATAATTATATACTATTAAAATCATTATGATTTTATATAAATTATAATAATAATTTTTATTTTATTTTAATAATATTTATACCTTTTATGTTTTATATCTTAATTAATTTTATTAATAAATTAATAAATTTTAAATAAATTAGGATATATTCTTATATATAATTTCATAATATATAAGTCCTTTGACCTTAGTTCCTGACACAGACTCCTAAGACCCTTATAACAGTGAGTGCTAAGAGAATCTTTGTTCTCACATTTGGGCTTTTTGACCTCTGTTCCGACACAGAAGCTCCTAAGACCTTTCTAATCTCCTGAGTGATAGGAATGTCTAACACAGAAGTCCTACCTCCCTTGGAATTTCCTGGCATCTTTGCCTCTAAGGTGATTCTTAGTGTGCTCTTGGATGGGGGCTGAGCACCAAAAGTATCAATCCATGATTGAAAGCTTGGAACTTTCACCCCACCTCCCATACCCCAGGGAGGAGAGGGGGCTGAAGATTGCATTACTCATCAATCATGCTGACGTGATGAAGTCTCTGTAAAAAATCACAAAAGTAAGGTTCAGGAGCTTCTGAGTTGGTGAACACATTCATGTTCTGGGAGAGAGGTGCACCCCAGCTCCACGGAGAACAGAAGCTCCTGCCCTCAAGACCTTCCAGACCTGAAAACAATTTGGTTTTTCCTACTAAACGCACTACCTTTCTGAGGCCTTAACAAAGGATTTTATAGTCATAGCCTTGGTTTCATCTTTAGACCAATATTCCTGAACGTGCCCTGAATTTGATTTTAGCATCATTTACTGTCTGGAGGCTGAGAATTTTTTAAGTCATCAAGTCCCAGCTCCCTCATGTTGAATAATCCTGCCTAGAGTTTACCTCTCCTCTCTCATTTTATGATGAGCCACAAGAAGAAACCAGGTAGCACTTTCAAGACTTTGCCTGGAAATCCTAGCTGCACAACCCAGCTCATGAGGGACATTTTCTACTTTCCACATTACTGCAGATGACAGTGTTGCTAAACTTTCTGCCAATGTGTAACAAAGAACCCCCTTCATTTTTGCCAACTAAGTGACCCTGGAAAAGTTTCTTAAGATCTCTACCCCCAGTCTCCTTATTGGTAAAAACAGAACTGATAACACCCACATTACCAAGCTATTTGGATTTCTAAGTAGGGTGATATATTCAAAAAGCACCAGACACAAGGGGAACACCGAACAAAGGCTGAGTTTTAGAGGGAGTGAGGTATAGAAGAAAGCGGACTCAACTGTGACACAGCAGAGACCATCTGTCTTTCCGGAGCTTACTGCAGCTGGAAAGACAGATAATAGTGTGTGGGCAGAGGGTGAACTTGGAGACCTGCAGGAAACAGGCCCCTCTTCTTGGTGGACAGCAGATGAAAATAAAGGAAAAAATCAGGGTGAGGAAACTGACCAAGCTGGGCTCAAAATCCTTGCATACCCACTGACACCTTTCTGGCAGCAGTGGCTGGGGGCAGATTTCCTCCTTGTGAGGGGGGTATGGCAACCAACTCTGTGAGTAATGGGATGGGGAAGGGGTTGCCTCTGCACTTTGTGCAATTGTGTGGCAGTCTCTGACCCCCTTCCTGGTTTTCCTGCTCTGATTGCAGGGGGAACATATGGTGGAAAACCCTGATGGAGCTCAGGAGCCTGGATACCAAAAAAGCCACCTGCCACCTTCAACAGGTCACGGACCTTCCCTGGACCTCAGTTTCCTCACTTGTAGAGAGAGAAATATTATACCACACTGTTGTAAGGACTAAGATAAGCAATAATGATGATGAACACGCTTTGTGAATAATAAAATTATCTGAATGTTTTATTCCTGTTGTTTCCTCAGTTTCCTTCAAACTCTGTCTGCATCCCCACATTTGATTTCTAGGGGCCCAGCTTCTCTAGTTTGCCCTCTTTTCTCCATCATAACCCTTTCTTATCTTCAGTTCACCTGATGTCCCCTGTATGTCTTGGAGCTGCCTTAGATGCTGTTATAAGCAGGGAAAGGCACTGCACACAAGCCCAGTGAGTAGAAGGGCCGTGGGCGAGCAAGGCTTGGAAACAAGACCTGGGTTTGTTTTCTCAGCTCAGCTCTACAAGAACTTGGACACATAGGTCACTGCCCCTCTCTGAACATCCGTTTCTTTCTCCAGAAAATGAAGGGGGTGGAGATGAATTCTGAAACCTCTTCCCCATGGAGAGTAAGTCAATAAGCATGAACTCAAGACCTCCCTGCGCCCAGCTCAGGGCCAAGCACCACAGGACACAAACAAAAGGAGCCAGCTTGGGAACACAGTTGTGAGTCCATAGGTGGAGGGGCCCCTGTGCAAGACTCCAGCACAGGCTAAGGGAAGGGACAGCAAAGAAGGGGGAGCAAAGCTGAAAAGAGGTGGCTGGAGAGGGATAGAAAAGCAGGACACTAGTGGGTACCAGACAGTGGGGGAAGGAGCCCAACAAGGATAAGGAACTTTGCTGTGAAGTCATGTTAGTCAGGATGCCATGACCTTCCATGAGCCCGAAAGAGGGCACACAGTCCCTGGAAGGAGGCAAAGCCCTGTCCCATCTCCACTCACCCCTCAGGTTCTGGGAGCGTCCTGGTATCCAGGGACAGTTTAGGCTCCCAGGGTCTGTGGTTTTTTTCTTGGAAACTCCAGTCTCCTGCTTCCTCTTTCCAGTTTTTGCCTGCCTTCCTGGGCTCCTCTGGGGATCAGGCTCCATACCTGGCCAAGGGCTATAAAGTCTGGGGACAGCCAAGATCTCAGGCGGACCAGAGTTTCTGTTCATGGTTAAAGTGCTGAACTTGTTGGGTCTAAATGTGAATATGGACCGAGCAGTAGAGTCTATTAAGAAACTATTTTTAATTGCATTGGCTGTGATCATATTAATTTGCTATGCCGCAAGAGCTCTTGTTTTAGAAATGTATGATAAATTATTTAAGGGTAGAATGTCAGGATATCTGCAATTTATTTAAAAATACTTCCAGATGAAAAAAAAAAAATACTGTGAGTTAAAAATACAGAAGTGGAGTGGAGCACCTGGCCCCTGAGCTCTGATGACGACAGGGCCTGCTGTAGGCCCATGCTGTTCCTCCATGGAAATTAGACAAATTACCCATCTTGTGGAGAGATCACAAAAAGGCACACACACCCCCACTCCCAGTCCCGGGCCTACTGATTACAAAAATGCACCCTAGCCAATACCTGGTAGAATTCCAACCCTGATGGCCCAAATGCCCATGGAGTTCCTATGGTTATCAGATAACAGCCAACGCAGCCACCATCAAAGCAGAGCCCACAGTCTCAGCGAGGTATCCACATCTTAGTGCAGCCCTGAATTTGGCATTGGTCAGCAGATCTCCACAACAGCTGCACCTAGAATTGCACACACCACACCAGCTTTCCTGGTGTTTTTCTCTTTTCTTTATACATTATATACAAACATCATTTTTCCAATTCTAAGAATCCTGACATTCAATAAAGGGAAATATGTTAGATTCTTGTATCTACTTTGTTTTTTCCAACCAACCTGTCTCAAGCATTAGTAGGTAAGACAGCAGGAGCGAGTGGTCCAGCCATGCTTCCAGGGTTGAAGCTTCCTCTCTCCTCCTCCTGACTCCCCTCCTCCTGAACAAATCCTGTTCCTTCCCAGCACCCTCTCTGAGGATTCTTTGGTCCCCACCCCAAGAGCTCAAGGAGAGGTGGCTTGGTTGGGAGGACCCTCTTCTCTGCCTGGCACCCCCTCTGAGGATTCTTCGGTCCCCACCCCAAGAGCTCAAGGAGAGGTGGCTTGGTTGGGAGGACCCTCTTCTCTGCCTCTTGCTGCTAATGGTACCTGCACCTGGTTTGCAGGAGCCCTCGGCTTCAGATGGGGCACTGGGGAGGAGGACAAGAAAGAAGGCTGGAGAGGGAAGGGGGGCAGGGAGAGGTCGCCTTACGGCCAGAGGACCAGCAGAAGGCTGATCCTAGGGGTGGGTACAAATGTGGCTGCTCCCCCTCCCCCAGCTCTGCAGGGCTCCCTGATCCGAGGCTCCTGGGGAGAGAAACCTGAGCCTGAGGAACTGAGGAAAGGAAATGGGAAGGGCCTCTGTGGGGAAGGGAGAGGTCTCAGCCAATCACCGTGACCTGCCAGTTACCTGACCAGACACAAAGCTTAACTATGTCCTTCTCATATTTGACCAGGGACAACACCCTTGCATCTGGCTTTGCTGCCCTCCCCAAACTGGGCTCTAAGAAAGGAGCTCAGGCACAGTGGTGGGAAACAGTGTTCCCTGCAGCTGTCGGTATTTCCAGAGTTGTCCCCATGTGTCCCCAGGTGAGCTCCTCCCCTGAGGAAATGGCCTCTGCAAGCTTCTGGGAGAAATGCCATCACCTGTCCCCTAGAGAAGGACGGGCCCTCCATATAAACAACAACTCCATACAGAGCCAGGAAGGAAGACTGACTGATTTTTCTGCTTAAAAACAATTGTTATGTATAATGAAATATACTATAAACAATGTTTTTAAAATGTAAAGGGGCCCAGGCATGGTGGCTCACGCCTGTAATCCTAGCACTTTGGGAGTCTGAGGGGGCGCGGATCACGAGGTCAGGAGTGCAAGACTGGCCTGGCTAACATAGTGAAACCCTGTCCCTACTAAAAATACAAAAATTAGCTGGGCGTGGTGGTGCATGCCTGTAATCCCAGCTACTCGGGAGGCTGGGGCAAGAGAATCACTTGAATCCGGGAGCAGAGGTTGCAATGAGCCAAGATCATGCCACTGCACTCCAGCCTGGTGACAGAGTGAGACTCCATCTCAAAAAAAAAAAAAAAGAAAAAAGCAAAGGGAGATTTTAAAAATAATATATATGTTATACAAAGATTAATATCCAGACTATAAAAGAAACTTGTGAAATCAATAAGCAAAGGGCAACAACTCAATAGAAGAAACAGAAAAGGACAGAAATTGCAATCCAAAGAAACGCACCATGGAAAATTAATACGTGGAAGACAAGATCAATTTTATCAGTAAGTGGGAAAATGCACATTAAAACAACAATGGAGGGATCATTTTTCACCTATTAAATTAATACAAATTTAAAAGATTGGTTATTCCCAGCAGTGACGAGGTTGTGAGAAAATTGGCATCTCAAAGGATGTCGGTGGGAATATAAATTAGTGCATCCTTTTAGGAAATCAATTTGTCCAGATTTATCAAAATATTAGATGTGTATCCACTTTCCACAGAAAATTCCATTTTTAGTGTCTGCATGAGAGAATAAATCATGTGTGCACAAAGAGGCATATGTAAAAGGTTATTTGTTGCAACATTTTATATAATAGTGAAACTTAGAAACAAATCAAATGGCTACAAACAGGAAAGGAAGGAAATAAATGAGGCTACATCTCTAGCCTAGGGCACTAAACAGCAGGTTAGAAAAGAGGCAGATATGTGTGTTCTAAATGCACAGAGCAGATCAACTAAACAATTTAACTCAAAAAATCAAGCTGCTGAGTGACACACATCATAGTACCTCATTTCTATCAGCAAAATTGAAGATAAAGCTATATCCCCAGTGATATGGTTTGGATCTGTGTCCTCACCAAATCTCATGTCTAATTGTAGTCCCCAGCGTTGGAGGTGGGGCTTGGTGGTAGGTGAGTGGATCATGGGAGTGGATTTCTCATCAACAGTTTAGCACCGTCCCCTTGGTACTGTCCTTGAGATAGTGAGTGAGTTCTCATGAGATCTGGTTGTTTAAAACCATTTGTTCTTGCTCATAGGTGGGAACTGAACAATTGAACTTGGACACAGGGTGGGGAACATTACACACAAGGGCCTGTCATGGGGTCGGGGGAGGGAGGAGGGATAGCATTAGGAGATATATCTAATGTAAATGACGAGTTAATGGGTGCAGCACACCAACATGACACATGTATACATATGTAACAAACCTGCACGTTGTGCACATGTACCCTAGAACTTAAAGTATGAAAAAGAAAAAAAACATTTGAGTCACCCTTTGTCTTCTGCCATGATTGGAAATTTCCTGAGGCCTCCACAGAAGTAGAAGTTGCTATGCTTCCTGTACAGCCTGCAGAACCATGAGCCAATTAAACCTCTTTTTAAATTACCCAGTCTCTGGTATTTATAGTAATGCAAGAATGGACCAATACACCTAGACACAATGTATGTGTGCATGTATGCATGCATGCGTGTGTGTGCATGCATGTGTGTGAATGTGTGTGTGTAATAACAGGAAAGAATGTGTGCAAGAATTGCCTCAAGATGCTACCATGGGTAATGTCTGGGTAGGGGCGGGTGACTGGGATGTAACAGGGAGTGTGAAGGGGGGCTTTTGCATTTTACCCTGTATTCTACCATATTGTTTGAACGTTTTTACAACAAAATGTACTTGGGTGTTTTAAAAAGTAAACATTTTTAATGACTGTTGAAGCGAGTGAAGAATGTGGAAGTCTGAGGTCACAGCAGCCCTGCCCCTGGGACAGCAGTGGAAGGGTGTGTACGTGTCATCCTGACTGAGTCTCCTGGGGACAGGCTACTTTCAGTGTCCTCACTGGAGACTCAGCTTCTGTGTGGTGTGTCCTGTCTGGCTTCCTTACACTTTACTCCCTTGTTCTGTCTTCTCAATAGTCCAGCAAGCCTA